AGAGTTACCCAAGGGAGTTAAGATGACTGTTTTATTATAAATGGAATTTCTTGTGAGATTCCTTGAAAATTGTAGGTTTACAGCTGGGCAAGGAGATTAAACCATGCATACCTAGGCTTAAGGATAGTCCATTGTTATTTTAACATTAGTACTTGGACATAGCTCTACACAAAAGGAATATTGTCTCTGTAGACAACTTTCACAGGTGCTGTTAATTGTGCTGGCATTCATTCATTCCTTCATTCCTCCCTTCTAATGTGGGTTCAGTGCTTTACTGACTGAGCCATCTCCCCAGGTTTGTGCCAGGGTTCTTGACTTCCACTTATCGAGAGATGGCATCGTCTTAAAGGCTAGCTACCACGGAAACCTTGTCCCCACACTCTGGCTGGAAGAGGGTGTGCTTTTAGTTGGTGATAGTTAGTCTTGACAACAGACACAAGCTCAGTTTCAGATCTGTGACATGGGTGTCTGCCACTCACCCATGCCACATGGTCAATGTGACTGGTTGAGGTTCAGACCAAGATTTGTCTACCCCCCTCTGCAGCTCGAGAATACACTTGGACAGTTAAAAAGCTTCTGTGTTCTGCTTGTTAGTAATTTATATAAAAGTCTTCCATTATTTTCAGATAACCTCTTAGAGAATCTTCTAGTCACTATTTTGATGCTTAACAGCCTTCACTATCAAGGAATATTTTAATTTCTTTAATGTGCATATCTATCTATCTATCTATCTATCTATCTATCTATCTATCTATCTATCTATAATGTGTATGAGTGTTTTGCCTGCATGTATATGTAAGCATATGTGTGTCTGATGTCCTTGGAGACCAGAAGAGGGGGTCTGATCTCCTGGAACTGGATTTACAGACAGTTGTGAGTCACCATTTGGGTTCTAGGACCCAAACTGGGTCCTCTGCAAAAGCACTCAGTCAGTGCTCTTAACTGCTGAGCCATCTCTCCAGCCCTTCTTTCAGTATCTTAAAAGTTATTCTTCTTCATGTGTGTGGCAGAATATTACTTTAACTGTGTAAAAGTATGTTGGTTTTGTTTATGCTGCATTTATTTAACTATGTAAAGACCTGATTAGTCTAATAAAAAGCTGAATGGCCAATAGCTAGGCAGGAGGGGGATAGGAGGGGCTGCTGGACAGAGTCAATAGAAGAGGAATCTAGGCTCAAGAGGAGAGAATGAGAAAGAGAGAGAATGAGGGTGAAAGAGAGGGAGATGCCCAGAGCAGAGAACCAGACAGTCACCAGCCAGCCAGCCACAGAGTAAGACACACAGAATGAAAGAAAGGTAAAAATCCCCAAGGCAAAATGTAGGTGAACAGAAATAGGTTAAATCAAGTCAGAAGAGCTAACAAGAAATGAGCCTAAGCTGAGGCCAAACATTCATAACTAATCATAGGTCTCCATGTCATGATGGGGCTGGCAGTCCAAGAACGCCTGCTACACATCTGATTGCACTAATGGCAGATAATAAACAAGTGGTCAGTCTCTCCTCTATTAATAACCCTCCATGATAAGTATTGAATCCTCAGTTATTGGGTATCCTCAGTCAATGCAATAAGCCAAATCAAACTGAATTAATAAATACAGATTTAATAAACAGAGCAAAGCAAAGCACAGCACTCTTGGGTGACTCTCAGAAAGGCAGGAAAAGAATCACTTAGCAGGTTTGGCTACCAGATCTTAAATACCCTGTTGGCGTGGTCTTGATCAGCTCTGGAGAGGGGCTGACCCTTGGGGACTTTCTGGGGGGCGGAGTCTGAAATGGGAGGAGTGAACCTGGACTGAGATTTCCAACGCTCCACACATTCAGTGCCCTTACATTTGTTCTCCTTGGGCAAAATGATTCAATTTTGCTAACTTTTTTCTCATACTGACAGGAATTTCTTGTGTGTGTGTGTGTGTGTGTGTGTGTGTGTGTGTGTGTGTGTGTGTGTGTGCCTTTGAGCATGGAAGCCCGAAGAGGTCACCAGACCTCTCAGAGGTGGAGTTTCAGATGTGTGGGGATGTTCACTTGGTTATGTGCCGGGATTCCAACCAACTGCAGTCCTGAGGACCTAGCAGTCAGCAACCATTTCTCCAGTTTGTCCTTTCTCTTGTTTGGTTCACTTTTAAGCATTGTACTAAAAAGGAACTCTCTGGAGAGTTGACTCAGCAGTTAGAGCACTGGTTGCTCTTGCCGAGGAAACTGTTGGGATGCCAGCACCCACATGGTGGCTCACAACTGTCTGTAACTCCAGTCCAGGGAATCCAGCACCCTCTTGGCCTCCTGGCCTCGGTAGGCACCAGGAATACAAGTGATACACTGACATACATGCAGGAAAAACACCTAACACAAATTTGAAAAATTCTCATGTTTGTGGATTTTCACTAGCCTCCATCTTCCCCCTAGAAGTCTGTCTTTTAGACTTTCCCACTTCTTTCCATTTCCTCATTCTTTGTACTCTCATTTGGATGCAAAGTTGGGCGTTTTATCTCTGAGAGTCATGAGTCATGCCAAAATAAAAAGAAGACAAGTTGAGGCAACAAGCGAAATAGAGGACAGGCTTTCTGGGCGGTTGTCACCAGTGCATCTGTGTCCCTAGGGTGACAGAGTCTTGTTGAGCCTTTGATGCTGCCTTTGTTCCTAAGTAGCTTCTGTAGACCTCAGACAGGGCTGGTTTATAAGCCCCTGTTAAAGGCCATGTATTTCATGGGCTCAAATCCAAAGTGTATTCTTTGAGAGGGCTTTCAGATGCAGTTCCAGAGTAGGACACTAAGGGGCAGCACACACCAAAGAAAACCTTTAGGTTAACAGGACTCTGCCTGGCGTTGGAACTCTGGCATGGAGGAGCCAAACTCTCAGCTCTGAAGTCCAACTGTACTATTTTAATTTTTGCTGTTTTTTTTTTTTCTGTTAGAAGTCTTTTGTTGTTTTGTTTTTGGTTTTTTTTTTTTGAGACAGTTTCTCTGTGTAGTCTTGGCTGTCCTGGAACTCACTCTGTGGACCAAGTTGGCTTCAAACTCACAGAGATCCACTTGCCTCTGCCTCCCGAGTGCTAGGTTTAAAGAAATGTGCCACTACCACGTGGCTCTATTAGAAGTTTTACCTGTCACTTGACTTCTCCAAAGAGAAAGTTTTGTTGTTGAATATGATATTGTCAAGACCCATGCATGCCATACAATTCGCCCATTTTTGTGCATTTGTAACTTAACCTAGCAGTATTTAATTCCAAATTCAAATTGTATTTCATCAAAACAACCCCCCTCCTTCTGATGAGCAAACTTTCCAACACAGAATAAAGGCAATTAAATACTCAGGCAAGTAAGCTAGACAAAGCCCAGGTCTTGGGAGTCCACAGACCCCTTCCCTAGTTCATTGTCTATCTATGACTGGCTGATCCCTCTCCCTCCCCCTTCCTCTCTCCTCCAATCCTCTTTCTCTCTCCTTCTTCACCCCTCCCATTTCTAAAATAGGTGTGTTAAACTCGCTATATGTCTCAGGCTGACCTTGAAATTGTCATCCTCCTGCCTCAGCTTCTCAAGTATGCACCACACAAGCAAGGGGTTCTGAATGCTTCTGTGTGCCTAATCTTGCACTCAGTGCTGTGGACTACAAAGATGGACCAGACATGGATCCCGAGATTATGGAAATCATTCCAAGTGTGGAGAGTGGAGAGTGGAGAGTGTGTGACAGTGACTACAGGACTGTCCCAAAGCACAGTGCTAAAAAAGAAAGAAGTGGGTTCCTCTGATGGGTGGGGAGTTGGGAAGGGTGCAGGAAAGTTGCCAAGGGAGGTGATATTCGCATTCAGTCATCAATGAGCAGGCAGGAGGCAGTCAAGGCAAGAGAGAGAGAGAGCTCAGCATTTCCATCTGTGTGCGGGCAGGGACAGACCCTTCAGTGCCCAGACATGTGGGTGATGATCATATTGTGATCAACTACTGTGACAGAAGATTGGTTATCAGATGGCAGGAGCCTGGACAGTCAGCCCAGAGTGGTGTAAGGAGCCTTAAGGCCTGACCGTGGCAAGGAATGGCAAGGAGTGGGCATTTAGATGGTGACAGAAGCTGGGGTGGAAAGTGGCAGTGGGTGACTGAGATGGTCCAAGCAGGAGGTGGGAGTTTTAGTTAGATCCTAATCAAGTCTATGGGACTCTTAGGCACAAAGGGGCCCATGTTATCCCTAGTGCTCTGCAGACCTCTGGTTTAGAAATTATAGATGTGCCCAAGAGCTGAAGCGTGTAAGAGCATTTAACATTGAGGACAGTCTTAGCAGGAAACTGAACTCCAAGAAGAGACTAGCTTTGCTTGTGTTCTTTGTAGTTCACACACTCCAGGAAAAACAGCAGTAGTCTTCTCTTCAAGCTACGGTGCTTCTGGCCACCACACCTGACTTCTTATGAGGCTGGTAAGGATACAACTGGAGCCCTTGTGCTTGTGAGCCTCCCCTAACATCCTTTCCTTACAACTTTTCTTACCTGGGAATCTCCCTATACCTGCACACACAGCTTTTCTATCACCCACAGACAACAGTTAATGCATTCTTATACTTGAAGGCTAATATCGATCTACTGACAAGCCAGGAAGACTTAAAGCCCAACCACTTTGTCACAATGTTGCCCAGGTACTAGTTTAATCCTCAGTGGTTAATTAGGCAGACACAAACTTGAGTGTGTGTGAGCACACACACACACACACACACACACACACACACACACACACACACACTGGTTTGAACCAGTGTTTCTTCTTTGCTCCTTTTAGACTCTATCCTTGTCATCAACTTCCTATTAATAAACTATACTTCTACACATATTCCCACATGAGCAGAACAGAGGGTTTTTCCTTCTCGCTCTGATGCTGTCTTCCCTCAGGCCGGGCGAGCACCTATCTTCCTCCATAACCCTTGGGGCAGCAGTGCACACCTGTTCATTCTGCTGATTAAAAACAGACTCAGAGGCCTAGCCAGTTGAGTCTCTTGTCTCTGATAATTGTCATTGGTTGGGAACAGGTGTGCCAGGTGGAAACCCAGCGACCAGTGCTCAGATTGTCATTGTGAACATCTGTAGACAGCTGCCTCCTGCCAAACGGGTAAGAAGCAAGGGATTTTCTTTCTCTTTTGCTTTATTTTTTCAATTCTGTGTTCTAACACGACTCTGGGCCTGTCCAGCTGCTAACCTATGAACTGCTGGAGGCACACAGATTGGAGGAGTGGGAATTGGGGAGGAGAAAAACCATCTGCAAAAGCTCTCATTTGCAGCTTGCTCTAGAATGCATGGAACGCTGTCTTTAGTGGACGATTGTTATACTTTAAAAAGCATCACTTGTGCATTCTATTTTCAGGAAAGACTTGACGTGTCCCCCCATCTGCTTCTTTTGAACAAGTGCCTTTCATCTCCCTGGTTTGGTGGCCTGCTCCAGGAGTAATCCACTCTGCTGCCAGCATGCCCACCCAGCTGGAGATGGCCATGGATACGATGATTAGGATCTTCCACCGGTACTCTTGCAAAGAAGGGGACAGGTTCAAGCTCAATAAAGGGGAACTGAAGATGCTATTACAGCGGGAGCTCACAGAATTCCTCACGGTAAGTCCGTTTTTCTACCCCATTTGCTGGTGCGTAGGTGGTATATGGCTTTAGGGATAGGTGTTGTGTACATTCTGTCTATAATTTGTTTCAAGACCCTAAGTGCTGGGAAGAGTCCTGGAGATCTGTGTTGTCTGCATACACTGGCAGGAGCCATTTTCCTTTCTGCTATATGAAACTCCAGGAACAGTTACCATTAGTAATTATATGATAACCCTGGGTATAACCAGCTATATCTTTTATTGCTGCACCAGAATATATATTGAATATTGGGTTTAAAAAAATCTCAATGGATTGTCAACACTTGGAGAACCTAACCCTAGCAGTAAGGAAAATGGCTCCTAGGTATTTCTTTTTGTGTGTTTCAGGGACACACACACACACACACACACACACACACACACACACGTACATGCACATGCACACACACACACGCGCACACACACACACACACACACACACACACACAATATGTGTTGTTTATCTGAAATTCAAATTTATCCAGGTATCTAGGACTTGTACTGGCCATATCTAGCAAACTTGGTACTAAGAACCTTCAAATATGTTGAAGCATCTTCATAGCATGTGGATAGAGACTATTCTTCCCATGAGACAACTAAGGGAATTCTAAAATGTTACAGGATTGCTCAAAAGCCTACTGTTGGTAAATGGTAGGGTCACACGTTGCCCCTTTTGACTTTGAAGTCTCTATTTAAAGTCATGAAACTATCTTCAGGTGTCCTAGTCCTCCACCTGTGTTACTGTCCTGTCTCCTAGTGTCCTGGTCTTCTGCCTGAAGTGTCCAGTAGATGCGTTTCCAGCCTTCATAATTCATCGAATCTGCTACTGTTTACTTTGCTTTTCTGGACCTTTGGGCCTGAGCTGGCATTCTTTGGATCTGGGACAGGGGCTAGACTCTAGGCTGGCTCAGATTTCTTGTAAATAGACTCTTGGCAATCATTTTCAGGTGCTAAAATGAGAATGAAGATTTTCATGCAAATAAAAGGAAGCTGTGGGCTCAGTTGTCATGACTTTCCAGGCCTCCGAGTTAGAAACTTTCTTTTTCTTTTTAGTGCCAAAAGGATCCCCAGTTGGTGGATAAGATAATGCAGGACCTGGACGCCAATAAGGACAACGAAGTGGATTTTAATGAATTTGTGGTCATGGTGGCAGCTCTGACAGTTGCTTGTAATGATTATTTTGTAGAGCAACTAAAGAAGAAAGGCAAATAAAGATGACTAGCAAGCGAATGAAAGGCAGAAATAGATCCAAAGTTCTGTACCTACTGTGAGTCTATATCCTTCCTATTTAGAGACACAGTGATATGACTTATAGATATTATATATGTATACTTATTAGCATTAATTAAATTAGATTCATCTTATACAAATATTCTAGATCTATGCCCTCTTTGAAATTTACCTGTGTTATTAAAAATGTTATGATTTATTTGTCGAATAGAGAGCACCCACAGATTTAGCCACTTTTGAAATGAAACTCAAAACTGATGAGTTTCCAAGATCTCATTCTTAAATTGTGTTTTACAATTCATTCATTACTGATGAGATTACTTGGCTCTCCCTATAGGCTTCTAATTGTGCTTCAAACAGCAGAAACTGTTCACAGGGCTGCAAGCAGAAAGGCTGGTAAAGAGAAAGACTGGCTTTCAGTGAGTTAGACTGGGGTGGGCGGATTCAGGACTAGGTGTTCAAGCTGTAAGAGTTGAAGACAGCAGGTCTTAGGAGTTGTGTAAATACCCTCTCATGCCCCTGGGGATGAGTGTTTTCCCAGTTCTCAACATCTTTCCCTAGAGTTAAGTGGCATCAGACCTTCCTTGGGGATACTTGCCCCTTCTTCTGTCCTTCTTAGTCTTACTACAGTGCTCCAACTTGTTTGCTCTGCCTAAAATAAATGACCTTTACAAGAATCCTTGAGGAAAGCTCGGCTTCTGGCATCCAGACTGTGACAGATAATCGGGAGGGCTGGAAGAAAGGAAGCTGTAATTTGAAGTGATGGTCCTAGGGACCAGGGAAGATGGTAGTACAGAGGGCAACTGTGAAGGAGGCTCTGCTGTCTTTGGGTGAAAGACCAAGGAGACTCACGGAGGCTCAAGCCAGGATTCTGTGATGGAGGTGATAGAGGTGATGATGGATGTGAACGAATACAGCTGAAGTGTTTGTGGGGAGAGACTGACAAGATCTTTGAGGGTTGACACTGTTGTTAGCCTGACACACAGCCTGTCTTTCTCTACACATCAGAATTCTGTTTATGCAGAGTGCCATGGGACCAGTGAAAAAGATTTGTTTCCTAATATGTTGTACCGACGGGGGAAGCTAATAAAGGGAATATGAAGCCTGCTAGGAATCTCTGGGAATGTTTTGGCTTTAGGTTTTCTACTTTCTACCTCTTAGTTCTTCTATTTCCTTTCCATTGGAATGCCAAGGTGAGGCTGGGAGGTGGAGCTTCCATCTGGTCCCCACAGACAGTGGAGAACAAAGACAGAAGGGGTTGTCTGTCCAGAATACAACTCTCTCCTCCCAGGGAATCAGAGCCAATTATTCTGAGTCAAATAGGAGTGACCATGGCCAGGAGATGGAAGAAAGGCCAGGAGGGAGTGACTAGGGAGACAGAAGGAAAGCCAGGAGGGTGTGGTGCCTTGGAAGTCAGGGAAGAAGCATTCAGAGTTGGGCAGAGGTGAAATCCTGAGGAGTGGGATGAGAAACGGGGGATGGGCTAGCCTGTCAAGGCAGTGGTCATTGTGATGTCAGAGGTGCTGAAGAGGCTGATTTGGATAGAAAAAGCTCCAGTCCCTGGCCCACAGGTAATAGGTTCTCAATAAATAATCTTCTGTAATAAACACATGAAGGAACTTGTCAGCTATTGACATTCCAGATTGAAGACCTGCTATGTTTCATTTATGTAGAACAATATTTTTGCCTTCTTCAAACCAGTTTTAAGCAGAGAATTTGGGGAGATTTCAGAGGTGGGCAAAGCACTCAAGAGAAAAATCTAGACTCTGCAATGCACTTACTCCTGCCTTTTAAAGGGGTAGGAGAAAGTAAACAAAATTGGACATGTATTTTGGCTGTGTGTAGGTTCTTTTCTTTTTTGCCTTTTTAAAGAAACTGAAAATAAAAACTTCATGCAATAAAAGTTGTTTTGTTGTGTCCATGAAGGCCTGGGCATTCTCAGGGGCCTTCACACTTAACATTTCAATTTGATCTGAAGTTTACATTTTCTAAAACAACTCACTGGAACATGAAAAGTAAGTCCCAAACTGTCCTCACTGTTCTGTTCTTGGAAGAACGTTCTCTAAGCAGAAGTAAGTGGGAGAGCAATGTTTATTTCTTAATGTTTCTGAAAATCAATCAAAAGCAGAGAAAAGCAATTTATGTCTCAAATTAGATTTTAAATGAGTAAGAATTGCACAATGCACCAAAAATCCTTCTCAAGTAAATGGGCTCTCCTTTCTTTCCTACACCCTCTCCCCGCTTTGGAGGCAAAATTACTTAGTGCCTATGTCCAGGGACTCTGGTCTGTTTTGTTTTGTTTTGTTTTGTTTTGTTTTGTTTTTGTTTTGTTTTGTTTTGTTTTCATGTCTAGAGTTTAAATAAACTCAAAGTTTAAACACACTCACAAGTTGTCTCTGAATGGGTGCCCATTAGTGGTCATTATTTACTGAGGTCATCACAAAGAGCAGTTTATGGGAGACAATAGCCTGAGACTGTGTGGAGTCCTGGGTTTGAGAGCTACTGACCATGCTAGGACACTGAACAAGAATGGGGTCAAGAAAGTCTTCCCAGAGGCAGAGGTGTGAGTTCAAGTGTTTGACAGGACAAAGACATGGGGAGCATTATTAAAGAATGAGAAACATGGGCAAAGCAGTGGGCATGGACTATCAGGGATGGTTTGGGAGAGTGCAAGTTCTGGGGTATCCAAGGGTGCGGGGTGTTGGAAGGCAGAAGAATGGGGTAACAGATGCTAATGTAAGAAATATGAAGTTTCTTTTGAGATGGCTTCCTTCTAGGTTTAAATCTTCACAGCTGAGGTGTAGAGCTCCTCCTTCATCTTTGAAATGTAGATCTCTGAGCCAGGCATGATGGCTCACACACGTGAGACCTACACTGGTGAGGCTGAGGCAGGAGGATCAGTTTTTCTTTGGGGGGGGGCGCTTTTCTTTTTTTTTGAGGGGGGTGCTTTTCAAGACAGGGTTTCTCTGTGGCTTTGGAGGCTGTTCTGGAACTAGCTCTTGTAGACCAGGCTGCTCTTGAACGCACAGAGATCCACCTGCCTCTGCCTCCTGAGTGCTAGGATTAAAGGCATGAGGCACCACCACCTCTCAAGAATCATCTTTTTTTTTTTTTTTTTTTTTTGTCTCAGAAAACAAAAGCAAGAGCTGGAGAGATGGCTTAGAGGTTAAGAGCACTGGCTGCTCTTCCAGAGGTCCTGAGTTCAATTCCCCGCAACCACATGGTGGCTCACAACCATCCGTTAAGAGATCTGGTGCCCTCTTCTGGTGTGCAGATATACATGGATGCAGAATGTTGTATACATAATAAATAAATAAAATCTTAAAAAAACAAAAACAAAAAGTAAATAGATGACAGACAGACAGACAGACAGACAGAGATATGCTCCACCATCTTGTCCCAATATCCTAATTTATTTCAGTAGGGCCTAGGCATCAGCACTCAATCAGATTTTCAACCAGTGTTAAAACTCACTTAAGGGGCTGCAAGATGGCTTTGCAGTTGAGAGTGCTTGATACTCTTCCTGAGGACCCAGGTTTGGTTTCTAACACTCATGCTAGGTCACTCACAACTACCTGTAACCCCAGCTCTAGGGGCTCTGACGCTGTCTTATGGCTTCTATGGCCACCCATAAGCAAGTGCTTGTGTATACCACCCCCTCATACATACTAAAGTTAAAAACAACTTACCTACTATAGACACTTTGCATGGTACTATATGTACTTGGACCATCATATTGTCTAATGACTGCAGTGTTGTGCCCCCTACCCCCACCCCGACGCCGAGTCCTGCTGTCTTTTAACTGATAGAGTCCTGCTTCTCTAGCCCAAGGTTCCATTTATCCCTAGTGTGCCAGTGTCCCCCACTCTTCACCCCTCACTTTACCACTGGCTTTCTCCTCCCTAACATCCTTGTGTTGTCTGATTTCCTCCAAAGGGAGTAAGACTCAGCAAGAGCTGTTGACTGTATTCCTAAACCACTCTCCTACTCGGTCATTCAGAGTTCTCCCCCTTTATCCTAGAATCTAGACTGTTTCTATTAGGGGTTAATAGAAGTTACTGTAAGTTAATAGAAATGTGGACCCTCTGGCTCCTCCCACACGTAGGAAGGATGATTAGATGTTCATGTGCCCTAAAAGCCGATTTTCTGCCCTCTCCTAGATAACTCTCATTCACTATTTAAGTGGGTTTTTCAAAAATGTTTTTAGCAGTGTTTGTGTTGTGCATGTGGAGGTCGGAGGACAGCTTGCAGGAGTCAGTTCTCTCCTACCTGGGAATCGAACTCAGGTCATCAGGCTTGCTCCTGAGCCATTTTGCCATCCCTAAGATGAACTTTAAATACCAGGATTTCAGTATGATCTCAGTTTGGTTAAGAGAAATACACAAGAGCTGGCAAGATAGCTCAGATGGCAAAGGCACACACACATTATTACATAAATGCATGTAGTGTATTCTAAAGCACCGCAGCATGAGTTTTAAAAGGGAATCTTAAGGACGTTTTCTAATATACATTGATCATATTAGAAGTACATCAGAACAAAACTTGTGTGACACAGTTCAAGAAAGCCTAAAATCAAACTTTATACATTAAATCATTATGTGAGGGCCTATTGAGAGGGCTCAGTGGGTAAAGTGCTTGCCATGCAAGCATGAGAACCTGGGTTCGGATCCCCAGAGCCCATGTGAATCTTCACTTGGTAATGTGCAGCTGTAAACACACTGATTGTATGGCAAGGTGGGAGGAGAGATCCCAGAAGCCCACGGGCCAGATAGTCTTGTGTTTGCAGTTGCAATAAAGAGACCCTGTCTCAAACAAGGAGGATGGTAAGGAGGAACAGCCCAGGTTGCCCTCTGACCTCTACATGTATGCCATGACATGTTGAGTGTCCACATTCATATCCATACAACCCACATACACAGAAATTTAAAAAGGTCATTACATCCGAAAGAGACTCTTTTTTTAAAAGATTTTATTTATTTATTTATTTATTTATTTATTTATTTATTTATTATGTATACAACATTCTGCATCCATGTATATCTGCACACCAGAAGAGGGCACCAGATCTCATTGCAGATGGTTGTGAGCCACCATGTGGTTGCTAGGAATTGAACTCAGGACCTCTGGAAGAGCAGCCAGTGCTCTTAACCTCTGAGCCATCTCTCC